AAAATGCATATTTTTAGCTCTACCAACGAAACCAGGCACTATAAAATGTGAAGACCATCGCACAATAAGTTGTATTAGTCACATTACTAAGATTTAACTGATAATAAGTATGAGAAGAATAAGAAACAAAATTAAACCAGAAATCGGCGATGAACAATGTGATTTCTAGAAGGAAAAGGTACAAACAATGTCATATACATCCTAAGGACATTGTCAGAATGAGCTATAAAAGTAAACACTGACTGGTACTTATGCTTCATAGACTTTACAAAAGCGTTTGACTGTGTGAAACATGAAGAAAACAAATCAAAATGTTAGAAAAATTAAACATTGACGAAAAAGATTAACGAATAATAAAAAAAATATGTATTGGCAGCAAACAGCAGCTATAAGAATTAACAATTGTTTAGGTACATTTCAAAGCATAAAGAGGGGCGTACGACAAGGATGTGTTAAAAGAATTCTTGCATGCCACATACATCTAGTTTTGACGTATGGGTGTGAGTCCTGGACATTTGATAGGCAGGCCAAACAATTTCTTGAAGCCTCAGAGATGTGGTTTTACAGAAGAATGCTTAAAATACCTTGGACATCCAAAAAGAGCCACACACGAGGTTTTGAAAGAGGCGGGAGCCCAAAGACAACTTATTACAGACATCAGAAGGAGACAGTCTTCATTTTTCGGCCATGTTATGAGAAGAGGGAAAATAGAACATGTTGTGACCACTAGAAAGATCTGTGGAAGGAGGAATAGAAAATTCTTGACAGTCTTGTTGCATAGCATGGAAGTGTGTCAGCACACGAACTGATAAATTCTGCAGGAGATCGTGGATTGCGGAAGGAATGATCACCCACGCCAGTTGGCAAGAAGGCTGATCATGATGATGATGATGGACATGTTCATAACGGTCTTCATGTCCCTTCATATTGTCATATACCCTCTGCGACGTGTCTGTTCTGTTGTTATTTCTTGAATGGTTCAGGAAAAAACAAAAAACAAAAACAAACACAAAAAACAAAAACAACTTTCCACCATTGATAACACCATTGTGTTTTGAGTGCAAAAACATTACTCCAGTAGATGATAGCTATTCACAGCATATTGCTTCACGATTGACTGTCAAGCACACTTTTAGATGATGTATACTTTTTTTTAAAATCACATTTTGTCTTATACAACACACAAAGTGTATAGAAACTTTTACAAATACCCTATATTTCTAATCCTTTTTTCTTTCGTTCACTTGAAATAGTTTATCTATGCCTGCGATGTTGTCTCTTGTCTGAGCTTCACTGTCTGTTGTAGTTCATTCAGCGACCTGTAAAGTCTAACTTACACCAGTGTCTCTGTTGGCCAGAAGTTTTGCCTGCATTGTTGTATTTAGAGGACGTGTTTTGTTGTCTCAGGTGCCACTTCATAGGTACACATGGCTGATTCACCAGTGTTAAATATTGTATACATGCTGCTGCAAGTCGATTACGTCCTGTTCTACAGTGTAAAATAATGATTTGATCTGCTTTGTCCATAATCTTGTAATCGTCTTTGCCAGTTTTGGCGGATATCTGATTTGATTATTCTCTTCTACTGTTGATAAGGACCCTATATTTGAAGTCTTCGGTTCATGTTGTCTCCCATATAGCCTTACCAATTCGAGAGATAAATACACACTAAAAATTAGAATCGTTAGGTATACTCAGTCCTGCTGTGTGGTGCAGAAACGTGGACAACCAACAAGCAACTAGAAAATCAAACTGAGTCTCCGGAGATGTGGTTATAACAGAAGAATAGGTCGCATTTCATGGAAACAAAAAACAAACAAAAACAGTCCAATACGGAGGTCATGTGAAGACTATGAACGATAAGATAATTGCTAAAAAAAAATTTAAAAAGAGACAATTGAAATACTCTTGCTATATTAAAAGACATAACACGTTTTTAAAAACCATGCATGAGGCAAGAGAGCAAGAGGTAGGCAACGATACAAGTGAGAAGACAACATCAAGAGATGGACGGGCAGCAGTCTGAGAGAATGTACAGTATGGAAAAGAGACAGAGCCTGTTTGAGATCTATATGAGCCAACCTTCAGTATGGAGACGACACCTGATTGATTGATATCTATTCAGTCATTTAAGGTCGGACTGCAGATAAGCAAATGCACCCGGCAACTCGTAGCTTGCACGTGAATGCAGAAATCAAATATTGTCTTCGGAATGATTTTTAACTGTTTCGCAAAACTGAACACATTCACCGCCCCCCCCCCCCTCCCCGCCCCCACAACCCCTTGTGGGTTCCTGGGTCCATGTTTGTGGGGAGGAGGACGGAGCAAACAGAATAGATCCACTGCATTCCTATAAAGCGTGGAGTGCGAGTCGAGTAATCGGGGGTTTCCGTCGAAGTCGGAGTGCATCTACCCGAGAGGCAAGGAACCAACAGACTGCAAACACATAGACCAAATCTGTAAAACGAATATGTACACAAAACTCAAGTTTTGGGACGAAACTTGTCCAGAAGCGGGCCAACACGTTCTAGAACGTTCTGAAATGAAGGGCCAGTCTATTTACCCGGCGCTCTGAGAGTCGTGCGGTCGAGATCGTCGTTGGGGCTACGACCTTCGTCCTTTGTGTGACGCTGTCGACAGGCGGTTAGTCATTTTGCGGAAAGAGACCGACCGTGTGGGGTAACCTTTTTCGGTGAAGCCTTCGACTGAACTTTTTAAAAGTGTCAGAATCTGGTCGAACGGATAAGAATACATGGCTCTCGTGTAGGTGATCACGATTCGAATCCTGGGTAAGATTTAGCTGTCGGGGCAAAAATAAAATCCGAACCTGTACAGTCTGTGGCGACAGCATTGGACATAAGTATTAAATCCTTAAGCGTACAGACCCCCCTGCCTACACCACAAAGGTGGCAGTTGCAGGCAGAATTGAAAAGTTTGTTTAAAAAAATGGTGGGAGCGAAAAGTGGGGGGGGGGGGGGGGGGGTGGGGGGGGGGGGGGGGGTGGTGGGGGGTGGGGGGGGGGTTGGGGGGGGGGGGGGGGGGGGGGGGGGGAGTGAAGAAAAGTAGGGGGAGAGGTGGGGGAACCCGCAGTGTCCGAATAAAGGGAGAATATTTGTAATTACTTTTCTTCTTAGGACGTTATTTTTTGTTATTTGAAGCCCCACTCTGGCTTTTGCCAGGGGCCGCAATATAGGCAGGTCATCATTATGGCCAAATGTCTGAACGCGGTTTCTGGGACCTCTCCACGGTGATCCTCATCCGCATGGTGGCACTTTGTGTCATCGGGTGTTTATCGCTTGTGTGATGTCCTGGTGGGGTAAAAAGCCAATCCAATCCAATTACTTTTAGGGCCAACATCATTAGGTGATAGCCTCCCTTTGGGAATAGTGAAACTTAGACAAAATAGGTATAGAAAAACAACTTTATACTTAGATAAAATGGGAATAGTGAAACAACTTTATACTTAGATAAAATGGGAATAGTGAAACAACTTTATACTTAGACAAAATAGGTATAGAAAAACAACTTTATACTTAGATAAAATGGGAATAGTGAAACAACTTTATACTTAGATAAAATGGGAATAGTGAAACAACTTTATACTTAGACAAAATAGGTATAGAAAAACAACTTTATACATAGATAAAATGGGAATAGTGAAACAACTTTATACTTAGACAAAATAAGAATAGAAAAACTTTATACTTAGATAAAATGGGAATAGTGAAACAAATTTATACTTATATAAAACATGTATAGGCAAAAAAAAACTTTATACTCAGATGAAATGGGAATAGTGAAACAACTTTATGCTTTGAAAAAAATGGGGGGAAAAACCATTATAACTAAACAAAACTGAAGTTACAAAACTTGTATGAATGCAAAATTTAGAAAACTACTGACATGTAGTATATTTTTAAAATACTGTTTGTTTAATCAGGGTTTATTGAATTGTTATTGTATATTTTATGTGAGTGGGTGAGATTTATCATGTTTTTGGAGACATTCTGGTTGGGCCTTGAAAAAGTAAGATAAACATTATTATTATCATCATCATTATCAAAAACCACTTCTGCCGTTAAGCGCCTTGGGGAGGAATAATTTGCGATCCAGTGCACGTTGGCTGCCACTGATTATTGTCATGCCGTGAAGTTGTAGAGTGTCTTTAATGTTATCGATATATAATTTCCGTGGCCGTCCTCTTGCTCTTGTAGCTGATCATCTGAGACGTAGTGCTTGTGATGGTCTTTGATCTTGCTGCTTTCTAACGAGATGGCCAAACCACTTGATCTGCTGTTTCTCGATGAATCTAGTACAAGGTGTCGTTCTTACAATTTGCCTGATAGTTTCATTTTTCACTCGATCTCAGATGGTTAGGTTGGCTTCTTTTCTCAGGCACCTCATCTTGCAGGTGGTGATTTTGTGTATATGGGCTTTAGATAGTGTCCATGTTTGGCACTGGTAGCTTAATGTTGGAATGAATATGCTATTAATAATCTGTCTCTTTGCACTCATAGTTATGCTTGGAGGTCTTAATAGTATGAGCACTCCAAACGTGAATAAAATTTTAAGTGGAGTGGAATTTGAAAGAAAACGCTCTATATAAGAATGTGGGGGAAAGGGGCGGGGGAGGGCAGATCTTAGGTACCACGCCTTCTGTTATTATTTTGTTTTTCAAATCAGCATTGACCCTTGATATGACTTAAATTTCAGCTCCTGAAGGAAGATGCTGTTTATTAGCCATTTTTTTTTTTTTAATGTTCGGATCTTTTAGAATGTCAGATTGATTTTCTTCTTTGTCAAAATCTCAGCATTTCAGAGCGAAAATCCTTATTCTCTTCCTTTAAGACTTTGAGAAAGTCCACCACTCACATTCGTATGTTGCTAGAGGTAAGACGTATGCTCTCACAATGTAGCTTTGATTTCCTTGCTGGTGCTTAACCATGGAGATTTAATCTCAGCCTTTCTAATATTCAGTTTCTTCTCATTTGGATCACTAGGAAGTCTTTTCACCAAAGAAGGATTCCTGGAGCTGACCGCCCGCCTGCCCTACGTCAAAGTGGGACCTGTGAGATTCAGCCATATCACCTACCTGATGATGGCCGTGGCCTGGCTGACGGTAGCACACGCCGTCATGAGCTTCTACAGCTGTTCCAACGGTCAGTATGAGTATTACTGCCCAGAAGGTGATGTGGATTGTTTGGTTCAGTGGCTTGTTGAAGGCGACTGAGAGATCAAAGTCTGTTCTCATAAGGACTTTGTCTCCTTTTTCTTAGCATTAAACGGCTGTAAACTCCGACGACAGGTTCTGGGTGTTCTAGAAAGCTCTGGACTTTGACCTCGTTCCAGAACTTGCGTTTTAGCGTGCGCATCCGTTTGAGAGATCTGGCTGAATTGTGCACAGGCTGTTGGTTTCTTGACTAACAAGCAAACGCATTCCGACTGTTAAAGAAACGCCACTAGTTTGTCGCTTTTTACCACGTGCTCTAAAGGGGGCATCCAGTCTGTTGCCCCCTTCCTAACGGGGGCTCTGGTAACCACATGAGGTCGTTATAAGTAAAATCTTGGGGTGCAGTGTCAAAGCAGAAGCAAATGAAGGGGCTCTCAGTGGGATGTGTTCTGGTTTGAACTTCGTTTCCAACCGTGTCGTAGAAGTGTACAGATAATGAAGGGTAGCCACTACCAAGAGTCACTTCTAGTGGCTTGTCATGGGGAATCTTTCTTTGTGACAAATAAACCGAATTAATGTTTTTCTTCTCTCATCATTGCGTAAGTGTGTTTTTTTTTTTTTTTTTTTTTTTTCTTTTAAATCATTTTCTGTTATCGGCTGAATTGAATTGTTAATGGCTGTGCAGTTTTCTTTTCAGTTACATATTCAATTGTTCATTTGGTTGAACGATTAGTTATTGGTACAGTTTATCATTAGTTACTGGTGCAGTTGTACCACTAGTTACTTGTAGAGCTGTACCATTAGTTAATGGTACAGTATATCATTAGTTACTGGTGCAGTTGTACCACTATTTACTTGTAGAGTTCTACCATTAGTTACGGGTAGAGTTTTACCGTTAGTTAACAATACAGTTTATCGTTAGTTACTGGTACAGTTGTACCACTTGTTACTTTACAGTTGTACCACTAGTTACTTGTAGAGTTGTGCCATTAGTTTCTGGTAGAGTTGTACCGTTAGTTAATGGTGCAGTTTATTATTAGTTAAGGTACAGTTGTACCACTAGTTACTTATACAGTTGTACCACTAGTTACTTGTAGAGTTGTACCATTACCTACTGGTACAGTTTATCGTTAGCTACTTGTTCAGTTAAACCACTAGTTACTTAAATAGTTGTGCCATTAGTTACTGGTAGAGTTGTACCATTAATTAATGGTACAGTTCATCATTAGTTACTGGTGCAGTTGTAGCACTAGTTACTGCTAGAGTTGTACCACTAGTTACTAGTGGAGTTGTACTGTAAATAATTGTACAGTTTTTCATTAGTTACTTTTAGAATTGTACCATTAGTTAATGGTATAATTGTACCAAAAAGTTACTGGTAGCATTGTACCGTTAGTTACTTGTAGAGTTGAACTATTAGTTAATGGTACAGTATATAATTAGTTACTGGTGAAGTTATACCTCTAGTTACTGGTAGAGTTTTACCACTAGCCACTTATACAGTTGTACCACTAGTTTCTGGTAGAGATGTACCACTTGTTAATAGTAAAGTACCACTAGGTACTTGTAGAGTTGTACTATTGGTTACTGGTAGAGTTGTACCATTAGTTACTGGTAGAGTTGTACGACTAGTTACTTACACAGTTGTACCATGGGGTACTGTAGAGTTGTACCTTAGGTCACTGGTACAGCTGTACCGTTACCTACTGATGCTGTTGTACTATCATACTATTACAGCTGTACCGACTGCTACAGTTGTATTTGTACTGTAAGTTTTACTACTGAATGTTCCCCAATAATTACCGAAAACTACACGGATTAAGCCCTTGAAGTAACTTTATCTGACATTTTAGTTTGGTAGTTTAGCTAGTTAATTAGTTAGTTAGTTAGTTAGTTGATTAGTTAGTTAGTTATTTATTTGGTTAGTTTGTCGGTTGGTTAGTTAATTAATCGACAGATTATCCACATTGCACATCGGACACATCCATTAGCACTTAGATCCCATCTTCAGTATATCCCTCAGCATTCGTCAACCGCTAACTACAGTTCTGTGTAAGTTTACTAGTCTCCTTTAGCTACCTGTATAGTGTTTATATTTGGCGACACCTCTTTTGACCTTAAGTTCCTGTAGTCTATTGATTGTTGCCGACTCACCGTCTTTTTCTGGATCATCTACTCGTCTTGATGTAGAGCTTTGGGAGAAAACATAACACATTCTAGTGGACCAAGAGCTGAGGAAAAGACGCTGGCGTTGGACAGGACGAACATTGAGAAAACTTGAGAACAAAATAACTCATCGTCATGTAGCAAATGTATTGCAGAACGTCGCTCCCATCTCTGTCTGCCTGAAAGAAACTCGGTCTCTCGCCAGCTCCTCCGCCTAGTAGTTTCATATCAGGGAGTCACTTATATCTTGGGCCTATCTTCGTGTTGGTCGTCCCCTGCCCCTCTTTCCTGGTACCGTGCCTTCTGCTATTATTTTATTAAAATTCTCTATGGTGCTTGATATGACCAACATATTTCAGTTTCCGAGACAAGATGCTGTTCATTAGCCAAACTTCCTTGATTTTCCGATCTTTTAGAAGGTCCATATTTATTTTCTTCTTTGTCTATGGTATTCTAAGAATCTTCCTGTAACCTTGCAGCTCAAAAGTCACTATTTTCTTCTTTGTCCGTGGTATTCTAAGAATCTTCCTGTAACCTTGCAGCTCAAAAGTCACTATTTTCTTCCTTAAGAAAGCGGGAGCCGACCTGCACAAAGATGGGCACATGACTCCTTGAATATGAAAGTACACGAGTCGGGAGAGCTGCCGAGAGACCCCCCCCCCATCCCCCCCCTAACCAAGAAACCTACATTTGACTGCTCATGTTTCCCCTAACACCCCCCCCTCCCCCACACAAGAAACCTACATTTGACTGCTAATGTTTCCCCTAAACCCCCCCCCCCCCACACACACACAAGAAACCTACATTTGACTGCTCATGTTTCCCCTAACACCCCCCCCCTCCCCCACACACACACACACACAAGAAACCTACATTTGACTGCTAATGTTTCCCCTAACACCCGCCCACACACACACACACACACACACACACACAAGAAACCTACATTTGACTGCTAATGTTTCCCCTAACACCCCCCCCCCCCCACTCCTACAAGAAACCTACATTTGACTGCTCATGTTTCCCCTAAACACCCCCCCCCCCCCACACACCAAGAAACCTACATTGACTGCTCATGTTCCACCCCCCCCTAACACCCCCCCCCCCCCCCCAAGAAACCTACATTTGACTGCTCATGTTTCCCCTAACACACCCCCCCCCCCCCCCACAAGAAACCTACATTTGACTGCTAATGTTTCCCCTAACACACCCCCCCCCCCCCCCTTACAAGAAACCTACATTTGACTGCTCATGTTTCCCCTAACACCCCCCCCCCCCACACACACACAAGAAACGTACATTTGACTGCTCATGTTTCCCCTAACACCCCCCCCCACACACACACACACACACACAAGAAACCTACATTTGACTGCTCATGTTTTCCCCTAACACCCCCCCCCCCACACACACACACACACAAGAAACCTACATTTGACTGCTCATGTTTCCCCTAACACCCCCCCCCCCACAAGAAACCTACATTTGACTGCTAATGTTTCCCCTAACACCCCCCCCCCCCCCCACAAGACACCTACATTTGACTGCTCATGTTTCCCCTAACACCCCCCCCCCCCACAAGACACCTACATTTGACTGCTAATGTTTCCCCTAAAACCCTCCCCCCCCCCCCCCCCACAAAGAACCTACATTTGACTGCTCATGTTTCCCCAAACCCCCCCCCCCCCACACCCACACAAGAAACCTACATTTGACTGCTCATGTTTCCCCCTAACACCCCCCCCCCCCCTCCCCCACACAAAGAACCTACATTTGACTGCTAATGTTTCCCCTAACACCCCCCACCCCAACCCCCCCCCCCCCCACAAGAAACCTACATTTGACTGCTCATGTTTCCCCTAACACCTCCCCCACACAAGATACCTACATTTGACTGCTCATGTTTCCCCTAACACCCCCCCCCCCCCCTTCCCCACACAAGAAACCTACATTTGACTGCTAATGTTTCCCCTAACACCCCCCCACCCCCCCACACCAAGAAACCTACATTTGACTGCTCATGTTTCCCCTAACCACCCCCCCCCCCCACCAAGAAACCTACATTTGACTGCTCATGTTTCCCCTAACACCCCCCCCCCCCCACAAGAAACCTACATTTGACTGCTAATGTTTCCCCTAACACCCCCCCCCCTTTTACAAGAAACCTACATTTGACTGCTCATGTTTCCCCTAAACACCCCCCCCCCCCACACACACACAAGAAACGTACATTTGACTGCTCATGTTTCCCCCTAACACACCCCCCCCCCCACACACACACACACAAGAAACCTACATTTGACTGCTCATGTTTCCCCTAACACCCCACCCCCCACACACACACACACAAGAAACCTACATTTGAACTGCTCATGTTTCCCCTAACACCTCCCCCCCCCCCCCCACAGAAACCTACATTTGACTGCTAATGTTTCCCCTAACACCCCCCCCCCCCACAAGACACCTACATTTGACTGCTCATGTTTCCCCTAACACCCCCCCCCCCCCACAAGAACACCTACATTTGACTGCTAATGTTTCCCTAAAACCCTCCCCCCCCACCCCCCCACAAGAAACCTACATTTGACTGCTCATGTTTCCCCTAACACCCCCCCCCCCACACCACACAAGAAACCTACATTTGACTGCTCATGTTTCCCCTAACACCCCCCCCCCTCCCCCACACAAGAAACCTACATTTGACTGCTAATGTTTCCCCTAACACCCCCACCCCAAACCCCCCCCCCCCCCCACAAGAAACCTACATTTGACTGCTCATGTTTCCCCTAACACCTCCCCCACACAAGATACCTACATTGACTGCTCAGTTTTCCCCTAACACCCCCCCCCCCTCCCCCCCACACAAGAAACCTACATTTGACTGCTAATGTTTC